TATCACTGTGTTAGAGTTTATGTATATTTTTAGGTCCATCAGAGTATGTTTGATAAAATTGGGTGTATTGAAATTGGGTGCATATAGGTTGATAATTGTTATTTCCTTTTAGTCTATTTCCCTTTTTATTAGTATGGAGTGTTGTTCTTTATCTTTTTTGATTAATGTAGGTTTGAAGTCTACTTTGTCTGAGGTAAGTATTGCTACTCTTACTCTTCAACAGTAATTTAAATTAAGGAAGTACATTCACATTTTAGGTTTTAGTCACTCTTGATCAATACTGTAGAGTGTCCAGCTTGCATGTCTAGTTAGGTGAACCATACCCTTCTTGAGTCCTTATATGTCAAGGCATGTTTGTTGCACTATTTAAAAACAAGTGCCACGAGGTGTCCCAGTGAAACCTCCACTTCAAAGATATAGCACTTTCCCTACATTCACTGTATAACAGCAACCCTAGTTCTTCATGTTAATTGTGGCTCATTTCTCCCTTTCATGATAACTTTTATTTGCTGGTACAGTATGGAGAGTAGCTAAGCATGACCAGATGGTAATCATACAATGGAAAGATTACCACTTATCCTGTTGCAACTATTCCCCCTACTCCAGGGAAAATATGGCCTTTAACTTAACAGAGGTTAAGTTAGTGGGTGTGTGAAGTATAAATTCCACATGTAAGATCTTTTTTTGTAGGGAGTGATTTTAGTAAGGGCCAATTCTGTTTCCAAGCCTTGCTTCCCATGCCCTTATGTTCTAACTATTGAGGACACATAGCCTGTGTGAGTTACTGTTATCTACATAGACTGCTTCCCATAGAATGGGGCCCTAGATAAATAGGGCTGTCCCCAAACTGATGCTATGGCTGAAATTTAACAAGTCATTTAATTTTCTTCTATCACACTTGCTGATTCTGAGTGATGTGGAAACTGGTAAGAATAATACATCCATAGATGGACCAGGGATACATTATGTTCCTTCTTTACTATGAAACAGGCCCCTTTCCTGAGGTAGGTTGTGTGCCTGTACTCCTGCACACCTATATCTTGTTTATAATATTTAAGAACTGGAAAAAATTCGTATGTTCTTCAACTGTGGTATGTGTATGCTATGGAAAACTGCTTAACAATAAAAAGAAATGAACCATCAATACATACAACTATTCAGTTTCATCTCCAGGGGATTATGCTGAGCAAAAAAGCCAATCCAAGAAGGTTAACACTTCGGATTCTATTTAGATTCACATTTTAAGTGACAAATACTTTAGAAATGATGAATGTACTCAAAGGCTAGGTATCAGAAAAGAGAGATGATCAAATTGCTTTGTATCTTCACTATGGTAAGGGATATGCAAAACTACATGTGATAAAATTGTGCAGAACTTAATATACACATGCACAGGTACAAGTGAAACGGAACTGAATAAGATTTGTAGACTGTAGCAATGTCATTATCGTGGTTGCCATATTATGCTAGAATTTTAAAACACGTTACTATTGGGGGGAAATGGTCAGAGTTTACACAGAATCTGTTTATTACTCAACTGCATGTCAATCTACAATTATCTTAATTAAAATTTTAGTTAAAAAATATACTTAAGAAAATTAATTTTGGACAGGTGCCTCTAATCCCAGCTACTTGGGAGGCAGAGATAGGAGGATCACAGCTTGATATCAGTCCAGGCAATAAAAAATTAGTGAAACTTTATCTCAAAGAACAACCCAGGCATGGTGTTTCATGCCTTTAATCCCAGCTACATGAGAGGCAGAGGTGGAAGGATCGCAGTCTGAGGCCACTTCTGTGCAAAAAGTGTGTGATCCTATCTGAAAAATAGCTAAAGCAAAAAGGGTGGGGTGGAGCTCAAGTGGTAGAGCGTCTGCCTAGCAAGCACAAGGCCCTGACTTCAAACCCCAGTACCACAAAAAAAAGAAAGAAAAAGAAAATGAGTTGTGAAGACAATGTTAGAAGAAATTAGTCTCTCTCTCTCTCTCTCTCTCTGTCTATATATATATATATATACACACACACATATATGATGTATCCATCTATGTATCTGGTAATGTACCAGTGTCCGAGATATTTTTAAAGGTCCTGTAATTCAAATTCAATAATAAAAAGATAAGCAGTCCAACTTGAGAATGAACAAAAGATTTAAGTCCTCTCCAGCAGAGATAAACGATGGGCAATAAAGATATAAAAAAGTGTGCAATTCCATCAGACATCAGGAAAATGCAAATTTAAGCTATAATAAAAGACTACGACCCACCCGCCACACAATCTAAATTTATAGTCTAAAAATTACCACCAGTTGGTAAGGCTCCTGGAGCCTTTGGAAATCTCACAGATTGTTAGTAAGAATACAAGATGTTCTGTTCTCATGTAAGATGATACAACCAGATTATGAAAGCATCTACTATTTGTTTTTTCAAATAAAAGCAAATATAGATCCACCCTATAATCAATCAGTTGCACTCCAACAAATTTATTGTAAAGAAAGAAATTATATGTTTACAAAATAATTGTACAAGTATGCTGATAGCAACTTCATTGAAAACAACCAGACACCCAACAACCAAAAATTAATGGGCTCTAATATATTCTTACTATGAAATATTGCTCAGCAATAAAAAAGAATTAGCAACTGTAAAATAATTTCATAAATTAATCTCAAAAACATGTTGAGTAAAAAAAGCTTTTTAACAAAAGAATACAATACTGTGTAGTACCATTTATATGAATTTCCATGGTAGGCGAGTGTATGATGAAATAAATCTATGGTGAATGGGGTGTTGTAGGAATTCATTGGGCCAAGGGCATAAGTGAATTTTCTTGAATGAGGGTAATATTTATCTTGACAGTGTGCAGGGTTTTAGTAAGTGTATGCACTGTCATTTGTCAAAACTCAACAAACAGTTAATATTTATGCATTTTGTGCTGGCAGAGTGACTCAGTTGGTAAGAGCACCTGCCCAACAAGCATGAGACCCGGAGTTCAAACCCCAGTGCCACCAAAAAAAATTGTGCATTTCATTGTATATAAATTTACCTCAAATAATAACTATAAGTAAATATTAACATATGTATCACTTTATTTGGCCTTTTTTAATGCCAAAGGTAGCATACTAGTTAATCATTAAGGTTTTATTGTTTCTAAGCCCTAAATCTATCCTCTGTACTCTGCCCTTGGATAGTGTGGCTGCATTGCTGCATTTCCAGCCAGTCATAATGTAATATTCTTTCATGAGGACACTTAGATGGACTGCAAGGCTCAGAGGGAAAGAGGGACTTAGGCTTTCCTGTTGATGTGCTGTCTGTCGCTTCATTTTGGAAACAGCACTTTTTTTTCCCCTCATAGAGGAAGCCAGGTGTAGTTTGCACATTGTCCATCACTTTTCAAAATCAGTTTCATCACATCTTCTCAAATATTAGCACTAGGCTACTGGGGCTCTTTCTCAGAGGTCTGGGTCCCAGTCTCAAATGTCCCCTCCTTCAACCTCAGACACAAAGTTGTGGAACTGACTTCTGCCCACTCCTGCGGTGTGGGTGTCAGCAATACAATCTCTCTCCTCTGAAGTTTATCATTTTGGTTTTTGGTTTATCGGAGTTTGAACTCAGGGCCTCATGCTTTCTAGGCAGGTGCTATACCACTTTAGCTGCACACCCCTAACTCTTCTTTGCTTTTAGTTATTTTTTAGGTTAGAGTCTCATATTTTTGCCTGGGGCCAGCCTCAGATCACAATTCTCCTACCTGCTACCTGCCACATAGTTGGGATCATAGGAATGCAACACCACATTGACTTATCGGTTAAGATGAGATCTTGCTAACTTTTTGCCCTGGCTGGCCTGAAACTTTAATCATCCCTATATCCACTGGGTTACAGGCATGAGCCACCACATCCTGCATTGTTTATTTTAATGATTTCAGCCCCTTTCCTTCTCTTAGTCCTAGATCTAACAGCTGCTACCTGCTATTGCCTCCTATAAAATAAAATACTTAAGAATTCTTTTATCTTTTCAATTACTGGATGTGGTTTCTGTTTTCTGGCTGTATCTTGAATAGATGCATACCACTTTATTCTGTAGAAGTTCATGCCATAGTTTTGTCAGTCTGCTTTATATGAGCAATTAATTCCAATATGTTATAATAAACTTATATTTTCTTCATATTATTCAAGCTCTATATTCAAATCCGTTCTTGGAAGTAGGACTGCTGAATCAAACAGTAATTGCATGCTAAGGTTTGAATGTTTGATGCCTTCTTAACTGATGCTGAAATTTAATTGACATTGCAACGGTATTAAGAGGGGACCTTTAAAAGGTAGTTAGGCCATAAGGGCTCTGCCCTGATGTTATGAGAAGATGGGTTTGACCCCCTACTCTGCCTTTCACCCTTCACCATGTGAGGACTCAGTATTCAAGGCACCATCTTAGAATCAGAATCACCAAAGCTACCAGTCTCATGGTATTGGAATTGCCAGCCTCCATAACTATGAGAAAATAAATTTCATTACAAATTAATCAGATTATAGCAGCAGAAAATAAATTAAGAAAAAAAAAGCATGAATACTTTTGTTAGATATTGCCTGAATCTCCACTGAAGTTGTGTCGTTTCTCATCCCACAAGGACTGTGTTAAAATGCCTATTTTGTGTAGCTTTGCAAATAGATATGTTGCTCAGGTTTTGATTTTGCCAATATATCTCTGAAATATATCTCTGTAGTTTTAATTTTATCTATTTCACTGCATGACATTGAGAATCTTTTCATGTTTATATTGATTTTGTGCATTGTCTGAATTTTAAGTACAATTCAATTGTGGATGATGGGAGCATATATTTTATACTTCAGTCATTGTTATCTCCAGGCATTCAGAATTTATTTGACACCAGATAAGTCTCATTCTTCAAATCATATGTTTTCCCACTTGGACTTCACTTTCGTTTCTAACATTTGCTTTTTCTGTTTTATTTTCTTTTAAACATAGCTTATTTCTTATTGGTACTTTTAGGTAAAATATCATCTGCGTCTTATTAGAGTACAGAGGACCATCTGGTGGCCAGAGAAGACAGACTGGAAAGGAACTTTTCTTTTTCCTTCTCGTCCTGCTAAAGGACCCAGCAGTCCAAGTCATCCTGATGGAGGAAGTCCTGGTTAGCAAATCCTTAAACATATGTATTTTATTACCATAGTTGCATGTGCACATATATACACCTTTTATTTATATTTAAATATTTGTATTTATTTAATAGATGAGAAAATGTTTGTTCTTAATTTGTGGTGATTTTTTAATTAAATTATATTCTACCAAAACTACTTTTCAACTTACACGTTTGGCAGACTTACTGTGGATGTGTATAAAATGCTTTGTCCACTTTCAATTCTCACATCACTATATCTTTTGATTTTTATTAACATGCATTAATTATTTATAATGGACTATAGTGTAATATGTGAATACATGCTTACAGTATGCACTGATTAAATCTAGTCTCCCTTTATCTATCCTCTCCCCTTCCCACATCTTATAATTACTCTTCCACATACAGGTTGACTTTGTTTAAACTTCCATATTTCCACATATGAAAGAGAACATATGGTATTTCTCTTTCTGTGTCTGGCTTATTTCATTTAACAGAATGTCCATTTTGCCACAAATAACAGGACTTAATTCCTTTTTGACTTCTGGTTTTTTTTTTTTTTTTTTTTGGTGGTACTGGGGTTTGAACTCAGGTTTTGTGCTTACTAAGCAGGTAATCTAACACTTGAGCCATGCCCCCAGCCTTTTTTGTTTTAATCACTTTTACAATAGGGTCTTGCATTTTTCTGGCCAAGTGACCCTGTATGTGACTCTCCATTTACACTTTCTGTGTAGCTGGGATATCAAGTGTGCATCACCATGTCCAGCTTTTATTGGTTGAGTTGACCTTGAACCTGGTCCTCCTGATCTCTGCCTCCCAAGTAGCTAGGTTTACAGGCATGAGCCACCATGCCTGACTAATTCTTCTTTAGGGCTGAATAATGTTCTTTTGTGCATATATACCTCATTTTCTTTATTCAGTCATTTGTTGATGGGCACCTAGGTAGATTCTATACCTTAGCTATTGTGAATAGTACCACAAAAAACGTGGGCATGCAAGTATCTCTTCACTATGCTAATTTCATTTCCTTTGGATACCCAGAAGTGAAGTAGCTAGATTTTGTGATAGATCTGTTCAGGTTTTTGAAGAACCTTCATTTTGAGGAATCTCCATATTGTTTTCCATAATGGTGGTACTAATTTACAAATTCAGTGCAATCTTTATCAAAATATATATAGTTGTAGTATAGTGGTTTAATTTCCAAATACATATGCTTCAGTTTGTTTAACAGGCATTGCTGGCCTGTTCATGTCTATACATAATTCTATTGAGTTTATGAAAATGTTTTCTAATTGTAATTGTAATTAATTCAAAATTTTATTTGTGTGTTATATGAAAAACCATTATGTGCAATTATGTTTAGCAAATTTTAATTGAAGAGAAAAGCCTTGCCCATTCTAGCATTAGCAACTTTTGGAAGCAATAGAACTAGTAGGAAAATAGAAGAACTTATTAGACAATCATTTAAAATAATCTTTATGAAATCTGGAAGCACTTAATGCTGAAATGAGCATTTAACCCGAATCTACAGGAATATGTGTGAATTAGCTTGATGGAGTTGGTGGGGACAGATTATTCCATGAAGTAGGAGTAAAATCATGGTCACATGCCAGGCAAGGATGTCACATGGTTTTTTGTTTGCTATTTTTTCATAGCTAGAAAATATATATGAGAGGCTGTTAGCAATGAGGCTAGAAGATGAACAGGTCATTAGGGTCCTGTTTTGCAAAGTAAAGAAATGTGCAATTTCTTTTGGAAGTTGTAGGAAACAGAGGCATAGACATATTTATTGAGAATAGGAAGAATGATATGTGTGGTAGTGAATGCACAGCTCTATGGCAGATGGCACTCATTGTTGAGCACTAGGTAAGTTTTTGTATCTGATCACAAAATTTTAGTTTTACATTATTGCTGAGCAAATGACTTATAAATGATTTATGTAATCAAGCAAGATAGCTCAGAGAATGACTTTTTTTTCAAACACTAGAATGTTACTTATAAGTTCACTTTTGGGCTTTGAGTGACATATTTCTTAAGGCAACATACCCTTAGACTCCCTTAATGTCTGTCACACTAATTTTGGGGGTAATGTTAGACAAGGAAGAGAAGGTGAAGGACTGAGTGCTAGGGAACATAAAGTTAAAGAGAAGTAAGCAAAATAAAAGGAGTCTAAAGTCTAAGAAGGCATGTCTGGGAAGGAAGTGGAAAATCAAAGAAGGAATGGGAAAGTATGCATAATCTTTAAAAATGAACCTCTTTCCCATCTTAACACTTAAAAATAAACAGAGCAGAGTTTCAAATAATACAACTTTATTTTAAAATCCATATTCATTCATGAGTTCCATGTATATTCTAGATACATTATTGATTCTAATTCTTAAAGGTTTCCAATTTCTGATTTGATCCATGTCGTACTTTATTGAACCGATATCTTTAATTTCTTATTACTGTATCATTATTTTTTGACATTTTGTAGTCTCTGCTTCTGGGGTTTCACTTTTTTAAAATCATTTCCAAGTGATCCTCTCTGCCATACTATATCCACGTTGTTTTAATAAGTAGCAATTGCATTTAACAAGCCTACCACTTTAGTTAATACTTTAATTTTCAAAGATGTGAATCAGATTCACTAAAGAAATAACACTTTTTTTATCTTTTGAGACAAAGTCTCACTAGGTAGCCCAGTCTGGCCTCAAAATGGTGAATGTCCTGCCTCAGCCTCTTTGGTGCTGATAGTATAGGCTTGTGCCACCAATCTAGCTTAAGAAATGTCCCTTATTTTTATTTCAAATCTATCATAAGTTGTCAGAGTAATTATGTCCAACAGATCTTCATATAAAAGGTTCCAAGCTGTAATTTACTTGACTTGCCTTCTTGGTGTATCTGAGCTGTTCCTTAGTGATTTACTTGACACCAGTTGATTTATCATGCAGGGTACATCAAAGAAGGGTTCCTTGCTGTGCAGCATGCCTTAGATAAGGCCATCATGCTGCATCATGAGAGCAGTACTGGACAAAAGCTATTTGATGGTATTAGCATCTTTATACAGAGATTTCCACATCCAGCTTATCTTCATGATGGATTACTTTGGATCTCTAGTGGTTTCTTCCCTTTGATATTCATCCTCATGTTCTCTCCAATTGTACTTTCCATGATGCGATCCATTGTATGGGAAAAGGAAAAAAGATTGAAGGTAATCCCACTTACTTTCTTACACTTTCTCTTTAAAAAAATTTGCTTGGCAATCTGGAGTTTGAGCTCAGAGCCTTGCATTTGCTAACAGATGCTAGGCTACCTCTTGAGCCATGTCCCCAGTACTTTTTGCTTTAGATATTTTTCAAATAAGGTCTCACATTAATTCCCAGGCCTGGCTGGACTGTGATCCTCCTATTTACTCTTCCCATGTGGCTGGAATGACAGGCACACACCACCACACCCAGCTCTTACTGGTTGAAATGGGTGGTCTCACTAACTTTCTGCGAGGGATGGCCTTAATCATGATTCTCCCGATTTCCACCTCCCAGGTGTTTAGGGTTACAGGCATGAGCTGCCACGCCTGACATATTGTCATAGACACTTTCTCTAATATTCCTGCAAGTAGATTATAATAGAAAAGAGGGATTCATCTTAATGCTTTAAATTTTAATTTATAATGTTTTTCATTTTGGTAAAAATACCAGGTGTAATATTGAAAGAAAAGGTCTCTGAACTCAGGAGATAAATAAATAAAGTATAAATATATAAATATAAATTATATATAAAATAAATATAAAAATATTTTTATGCCAGTACTGCCCTTACTGCGTAAATTTGATCAACACACCTGACTTTCTGAGCCTTGATTTTTCTTACTGATTTTTTGTTTTGTTTTGGATAGGACTAAGGTTTGAACTTAGCATAATGCTTGCAGAATAGTCATTCTTCCACTTGAGAGTCAGTACTCCAGTTCATTTTGGAGATGGGGTCTCATGAACTGTTTGCCCAGGCTGGCCTCAAACTGCAGTCATCCCCTCTCAGACTCCTAAGTAGCTAGAATTACAGGTGTGAGCCACCAGTGGCTGGCTGATTTTTCTTAATCTTAGAATGGAGACAATATTAGACATTTATATAGCTAAATTTTTTTTTTGGTACTGGGGTATACCATAGAGAAACTTACATCGATGTATTTCATTCCATTTCTCTCTTTTTTTAGCAGTACTGGGGATTGAATTTATGCTTGCTAGGCAGGCATTCTACCACTTGAGCCACTCCACCAGCCCAATACTGGGATTTAAACTCAGTGTCTTGTGATTGCTAGGCAAGCACTTTACCTCTGGAGACATGCACAAAGCCTTAATGTAGCTTTTTATATGAATAAACTTAGAAAAACTTATGTAAAATCACTTTGAATTACAGATAAGTGTAATGTTGGTTTGTGTTGATTTTCCACTAGGAATACCAGCTCATAATTGGACTTAGAAACTGGATCATCTGGGCTGGATATTTCTTCACATTCTTCCCTTTATATATCATTATTATATCTTTGATATGTGTATTATTCTTTGTTAAGGCAAGTATCCATCTAGTGCTGTCCCATAGAAATATAATGAACCACATATGTAACATTAAATTTTTAGTAGCCACTAAAAATTCAAAAAGTAAAAAAGAAACAGGCAAAATTATTTAAGTAATCTATTTAAGTTAACTCAATATTTATATTATTTTAACATGTAACCATTTTAAAAATTAATGATGTATTTTATATTCTTTTTTTTTACTAAATCTTCAAAGTCTAGTGCATTTTTAATGTCTACTGCATATCTCAATTCCGACACTGTGTGTTGTTAGAAATATTTGATCTGTATTTGACAGAGCTTTGTTTTTTATTTAAATTCAAATAATTTTAAAAATAAAGCTCAAAATTCAGTTCTTGGGTCATGTTAGCTACAATTCAAGCTACATGTGCCTAATGGTTACTATATTAAACAGCTTACCTCCAGTGGATTGTAGCCTTCTACACTATCCTGTGAGAAGAAAGCATACTCATGCTGTGGGCTCAGTGGTCTCAGGTTGGCAGTAGAATAAAAACACAATAGTGTTTATTGACTCTGCCATGGAAACTCATTATGCTGAGTATCTTAGCAAGACTTACACCCTTTCTGTAAGAAATAAATTATTTAAGTTCCTGTTTCATTGAGTTTCAGTAACTGAGGAGGTAATATGTTTTATTAGGCCATAATTTTCTCCCTCTTTTCTTGTGTTTATGTAATGTTAGCTATGCATCACCTTATCTGATGTCATAATTGTTTTATTGCAGATTTTCAAAGAACCAATCTTGCGCTATAGTGACTGTAGTTTTCTCTTTGTCTTTCTTATGTGTTATGCCGTCGCTTCAATATTCTTTGCCTTTATGGTTAGCACATTTTTCAATAAAGGTAAGTCTGAGCATCTGCTGTGACTTAATTTCTATTTTAATTTGCCAAAATATATGTGGAGCTCCTTCTAGCTACACAGAAGCCTTGACTTAATTCTAACATAGAAGAAGAATTGTACACGAAATGAGTTAACAGGAATAGAGAGAGCATTGAAAATTAATACTGCCCAATGTAAATACAAAAAGAAGATAGAAAATTATGACAAGTTAGAACTAAACAGTGCTTCCTGCAGAAGTTGGTTTTAAATCTCTTATGAGAGTAAGTCAAGGGATGGCAGAACTCATTCATTCGTTTATTCAGCACATCCTTTGGGCACTTACCATGTGGCAAGACTCTGTATTGTATATAACAGCAAATTAGAATTGGTTCCTAAGGCTAGGTATGATGGTATATGCCTGTAATTCTAGCTACTCTAGATAAAAGGAGTAAGGGATCTCTCTACTCTAGGGGAAATAGGAGGATCACAGTTTGAGGCCAGCCCAGGCAAAAGTAAACAAGCCAGGTATGATGGTCCACACATGTAATCCCAACCACTTGGGAGGCAAAAGTAGGAGGATTGTGGTCCAAAGCCATCTTGGGCAAAGGGCAAGACCCCATCTGAAAAACAAACTAAAAGCAAAAGGACTGGGGGGTGTGGCTCAAATGGTAGACCACTTGAATAGCAAGCACAAGGCCCTAAGTTCAATACCCAGTACCACAAAAAAAAAAGAATAAATAAATTAATGCCTTATGAAATTTTATATGGCCAAGTAAACCCAGATTGGTCTAATTAGACATTTTGTAGACATATGTTAGATAACTCACAGGAAAGCAAGGAAAGAGAAACAAACTAAAGTCAGAGGAATAAAAAAATTTATCTGATGGCAAATTTAAACTCAATATATCAGTAATTACTTTCTTTATGAACATTTTCAGATTTTATTTTCTGTATACAATAAATAATTAATATATTAATTATACAAAGGGGTTTTACTATGGTATTTCCATATATGAATATATTGCACTTTGATCAGATTAACCCTCTGTATTGCTCCTTCTTTCCCCATCTCATTTTAGTGGGTTTCACTACACCATCATATATAGATGTAATGTCCTTTGATATCATTGACTTCATCATTTTTTCCCTCTCTCTCCTCCCACTCATGCCCCAACAAGGAGTCTGACATACAATTTCATTCTTCTTTATGGCTAATTCTTTATGGGTGAATAATATTCCATTGTGTCAATATACCACATTTTCTCTATCGATTCATCTGTTGATGGGCACCTAGGCTGATTCCGTAGCTTGGCTGTTGTGAATAGTGCCACAATAAAAATGGGTTGCAGGTGTCTCTGTTGTATGCTGCCTTTGATTCCTTTGGGTACTTGCCCAGGAGTGGCATACCTGGATCCTATGGTAGTTCTATTTTAGTTTCTTAAGGAGCCTCCATGCTGACATCCATAATGGCTTCCCTGATTTACATTCCCACCGATAGCATATAAGGGCTCTTTTTTTCCCCATATCCTTACCAACATTGTTTATTTTGTTTTCTGAATGGTAACCATTCAGTGTAGTTTTGATGGAATCTCAGTGTAGTTTTGATTTGCATTTCCCCAATGGCTAAAGAGATTGAACATTTTTAATATATTTATTGAACACTATATTTTGTTTGAAAAGTGTCTGTTGCATAGGAATAAGCCTAATCACAGATGTTAAAGCTCTCTACAATGAAAACTATGAAACACTGAAGGAAGAAGTTAAGAAACTAGAAGATGGAAAGACCTTTCTTGTTCGTGATTCGGCGGAATAAATGTTAAAAGAACCTTGCTACTAGAAGCAATATACAAATTCAGCGCAATCTTAATCAAAATTTCAGTGACTTTCTTTACAGAAATAGAAGAACAATCCTAAAATTCACAGAGAAAACAAATTTATTGAAAGCAGTCCTGAGCAAAAAAGAGCGATGCTGGGGTCTGGCAGAGTGGCTCAAAAGGAAAAGACCTGCCTAGCAAGCATGGGCCCTGAGTTCAAACTCCAGTACCAACAAAAAGAAAAAAGGGTATAAAAAGAGCAATGTTGGAAGTATCACAATACCTGACTTTAAACTATATTACCCCTGCCATAGTAACAAAAACAGCCTGGTACTGGCACAAAAACAGACACATAAAACCAATGTAACAGAAGATCCAAAAATAAGGCCAAGTGGGTCCTGCCATCTGATTCTTCACAAAAGTAGCAAAAGCATATATTGGAAAAAAGACAACCTCTTTCACAAGTAGTGCTAGGAAACTGGATATCCAGAAGTAGAAGACTGGAAACTAAATCCCTATCTCTCATGTGAACAAAAGTCAACTCAAAATAGATCAAAGGCCTTCATGTAAGACCTGAAACTTTGAAACTACTAGAAAAAAACATAGGGGAAATACTTCAAAATATATGCATAGGTAAGGATTTTCTGAATAGAACTCCAATAGCTCAGGAAATAGAAGCAAGAATTGACAAATTAGATGGCATAAAAATAAAAAGCTTCTATACAGCAAAAGAAACAATCAACAGAGTGACGAGACAGCCTCAGAATGGGAGAAAAATCTTTGCTAGCTATTCATCAAGCCAGAGATTAATGTCCAGAGTATATAAAGAACTCAAAACAAACACCAAAAGAACTTCTGGATTTCTTTAAGCTAGTTCCTGGCCCAGTAACTCTTCACTGCTTTTTGAGTTTCTAACACACTCAACCAATAAACTGACTTTTTTTATGTACTCAATTAGCTTTTCTAATTGTCCTTTTTAAGAATATTTGTCTAAAATTATTTAGTCCACGTCACTGGAAAGAGAAGCCTCAACTAGAGTTTTTAAAGTCAGATGAAGGAAATTTTATGCTACAATTGACATAAGAATTCAACAGAGATTTGCCTTTAAAAGGTCTAGCAGGGGCTTAAAAAGGGTGCAAGGAGAAAGCATGGAGCAAATTGAAAAATTCAGGTAAGATATGATGACGTGGATTAGGATGATATTAGTGGACATATGGTTAAATTGATCAGATTTTACATATATTTTGGAGGTAGGTTAAAAAATGGTAACAGGATGGTGTGCGAGTAAACTAAAATAGAGGAATGAAAGAATATTCATAATATTAACTATACATTTATCACTGAACACATTTATTGAGCACATACTGTGTAGGTACTGATAAAAAGTGTGAAAGGAAGACAAACTCTCTCCCCTCTTAGAGCTTGCTGTTTAATACTGTATTGTAATATAAAGAGCTAATTATAATTCTTACTTGCAGCCCATTTGGCCGCTTCTGCTGGAAACCTCCTATTTTTTGCCAGTTTCTTTCCATTTAATTTCCTTGCTCAACACTATGGAAAGATAACCCTTGCTAACAAGATGGCTGCCTGTCTGAGCTCAAATGTTGCACTGGCACTAGGGATTAATCTTCTGATCAAGTTGGAAATAAAAGGTGAGTGTTGGTATTGCTAATTTGGCCTTTCTGATTCAGTTCTTAGGAAGGTAGGGTAAAGCAATGTGGGGGACACAGGAGATGAAAAGGTAAGAAAATGTAATATTTTCCCCCAGATTTGTTTGTTTTTTATAAAGGCAAATATGTGAACTATGAAAAAACTCAAATGTAAAATGCTAAAATTTCCCATCTCTCCACAGCAAACCCCACTTATACTCTCAAAGTCATTTTAGAAATTGTGTCGTACACTTGCTTTATTCCCATAATAATATCTTGAACCTCTTCCCATGCAGAGATATGCTTTAACTTTTGGCAATGTTTTCTTAATATTCCACTGTAAATCAGTTAAATTAACTAGTTCCCTACCAATACATGTTTAGGTGGTTTCCAGTTTTTTGTTGTTATCCATAATAGAATACATATACATACTCATAAATGCACATTAATCTGAGAAAATAAATTCCTAGCTACAAAAATGCTAAGGTAAGCCTGGCAAGGTAGCATGTACCTATAGTCCCAGTTACTTGGGAGGCTGAGGTAGGATGATCACTTTGAGCTCAGAAGTTAGAGACCAGTGTGGACACCGTATCAAGACCATGTCTTAAAAACAAACTCCTAAACTATGAAAATGCTGTCTTACCAGGTATTTATATCTTAATTTTTATTTTTATTTATATTACAATAGCCTACAGAGTATACCAATTTATTTTCCCACCAACAGTGCATGAATTTTTCTGCATCTTCTCAAATAATGCATTAGAAAGGAAATGTACCTTCTTTATATTCTATTACTAATTTTCCTTCAGACTCTTCACCATGGGGATAAAAAAAGTAAATGTAATTAAGTCTGATCTAGCAGATTATCAGTGTTTTGAGTCAGTCTTTCAGGCATCTCTCTCGTCCTGCATTCTTCAAGATGGTATGGATGTGGGTGTGTGTTAATGAGATCTCTTACGGTGGAAAGAATGGGACTCTCAAATCTACACAGTCTCCTCTGGATCTTTGCCTCTCTAGCATAGTTCCTAGCCTGAGCACTACATGCTGTACTTACTAACTGAAGTATTGTTGATTGTGTGTGGTTCAGTGACATACTTGAATCCTATCTATTGAAGATAGATCTATTGGTATTGTGGTCACTTTCATGAGTCTTGTTTTCATTTGGTTCTCTGCCATCTTCTGGCCCTCTCTGAGCTTCATTGACCTTTACAAAACTTAGAAATTTCTATAAATTCTAAATGCTACTTTCAAGATATGGCGATCCAGGAGCACTGCTTCAGGTCCATTTATCTAGCTTTCTCACTCTGTCAGTACCAATGGCACTGCCATACAATGTTGGCTATTTCAAATTGATCTCTCCTGAACTTTCCCTAAAATACTCCTGAGACCTTGTTCTCTCCAACTCACTTTACTTTTTTCTTAGTTGAGGTAGGCAAAGGTGGTTTTCTTGTTTCTGTCTCTAGAATGGACTTCCTTTCTAAAATGTCATTCACATTGCTGTCTTCTCAGGGCACATAATGCCAGATTATGGTATAAAATAGGAAAGCTAACTAATCTGGGCCCATAAATTGGTGGGTATTTCAGACTTTAATATCTTTTACACCATCAAATTATTTTACTTTTCCCTTTCTACTAAGTGAAAAAAAAATGGCATTTTGGTGTGTTTTAGTTGAGTGAAAGGAAGAATTCTTTTGTTGTTACATAAAGGGATTTGAATCTTCTGTGTATTGTAAGTAGTGTACTTAATGATCTTTAGTCTGTGTCTTATTTAACTTGTGTTTATGGTCTTATTTTCCAAAAGTTTTAACTTCATGTCAAAATTATAAATATATTCTTTTTTTTTTTTTTCTTTTGTGGTACTGGGGTTGGTACTCAAGGCCTCACAATTGCTAGGCAGGCACTTTACCACTTGAGCCACTCCACCAGCCCATAAATCTTTTCCTTTAATTTGTATGCCTGGATCTTATTTAAGAAATCTTTCTATACTAATTCATAACAATAATAATCCAATACTTTTTTCTAAATTTTTTAAATGTTTGATTTTTGTTTTTGGCTTTTCAGTAAGCATAGAGTTGATCTTTCTGTTTGCTATAGATAAGAACTTAATTTTCCATATGAAAATTGAGTTATTACAATCTATTAGTCTCTAATTCTACCTTTGTTTTGTATCAAATTCCCATATATGCATACATCTGATTTTTTATCTTCTATTGGTTTTTTAATCTATTTTTGTACCATTTCCACAATGGTTTTACTTATCATGGCTTTATATCAAGTGTTAATATGTTATTCTCCTGTCTTGCTATTCTTTAGTTACTCTTGTTACTTTGCTTTGCAGTTGAATTTCAGGATCAACTTTGTCAAGTTCTATGAAAAAAATCCTGTCAGGATTTAGTAGGAATTTTGTTAAAATTTAGTGAGAAGGCTTGAGGATACTTTTTTTCGTCTGTGAACAAAAACATCCCAATGAGTAGCCAAGAATATGTATCATTATTGTTATTATTTATGATAGTCTAATTCTTACTTTATACATGAAGCATTAACAATCCACATCAATTTATCTAGATGTGAGATTTCCAGTTGATGATTCTGGAGCAGGGCATATCCTCATAGTTTATTAATTAACTTTTTTTAATGGGTTTAGGTTACATTATTTAGTATTGTTTCTTTTCTACATTTTCAATTTATCTTTCAGGAACTCCTATTGTGTTTACAATGGGAGGACTTCTCAAATCTTCCTGAGGTCTGTATTCTCTTTTTTCCTGTGGTTCCTAATTTACTGTTCATCACCTCTCAAAATGGCTTTTGTTTTAATAATCATTTTTAATTCCCCACTAAATACTTTTTTTCAGATTATTACCTTTTCTTTTAACAGAAAATACATGTCCTTCTTAAGGTGCTGGTCTGTAGAAAAGAGGGCTAAAGTTAAGGGGCAGATGAGTTTCATGAGCCAGTATCTTGCTTTGTTAAACTAGGGGTTCACTATGAGCCCTAAAGCTTTACCTGTAGTGCTGCCCTCTGTTTGGAAATAGAAAATGATTACTTGTCTCACTTTCATGATTTTCTTTTTCCCTTTCCATCAGTGGTATAGCTAAGCAAATCTATTTTCTCTTCTGCTTGGTAGTCAGCATCCATCTTTAGTGCTGTTGAATATTTTTTCCAAATTTGTATATCTCATGGTTATTTCAGTGGGAATTTAATATGAGGGGAAGAGTAGAAGGATAGAATCTAATAGTGTTACCAGAAAGTTTAGCCCTGGTGTAAACCTCAGTTCTTTCCTCTGGCAAGAGAAGAATTCAGGGAAAACGCAAAAATGTAGTAATAGTAAAGTTTATTAGGAAAAATAATTTGGTATAACAATAAAAATGAGGAGAAATGGGGAAAAAAGGAGAAACATGTCCTGCTCCCCAGGCAGGAAATGGGATTAGAGACTCAAAATGGTTGTCCTCGTCTCTTATTCTTACACTTTAGGAGCTGGGAAGTCATGTTTAACAACAACTCTCTTTATTAAGATAATGGATCTGGGTGCCTAAGATGGGTCATTCAGACCTACCCAAAACACAGAGACAATAGGTGTGCTTTAGAACTTACCTTTCCTAGATACGCCTTTTTTTCTTGTTGTTACTCCACCCATCCAAGTAGCCTTGCAACTTATTAATATTTCAGAGGAAGATAGATGTAGGCAGGTCCTGTGTGTTTTTGTAACTTAATATCTTTAAAAGGAGGTGGGAGGGGGCTGGCTGCTCCACTTTTTAGTGTTTACTTTCTAGTTTCAGTGTCTGAGTCTGGCCCTTTTAATACATATATTAAAATAATATAAACTCCCTGACTCTTCATCTTTCTATCCTGCCTCATTCATCACTCATAGTTAACTGCTACCTAATAGTAGGTCTGCTTTTTTCTGACTCTTTTGTTATTCTTTATTTTTGTTTTAATCATTTATTTTAATCATTCCTATTTATTTTGAAAGTAAAGAGGGAGAAACCCAATCAGCATTTTCTAGAAAGACCTAAATGCTAAGGGTTATCAGCATATAGATAAGCCACAGTGGCAAAATTTAGAGTATCAAACTTTTTTCTTGACTATTTTAATCACAAAACTTTCATCTATGGTATTTCTCTCTCTGTGTCTCCCTCCTTTTTATTTCAGAAATTGGGGTTAAATGGCATAACCTTTGGACACCAGCCAATCTTGAGGATAATCTCATTTTTGGCTATATGTTTGGAATGCTTTTACTTGATGCTTTCTTATACGGCCTTGTTACCTGGTATGTAGAAACTGTCTTTCCTGGGCAGTATGGTGTGCCCCGACCATGGTACTTTTTCCTTATGGTGAGTTTTAATGCTGCTATTTTTTGCAAAAGGTCATAGTCCTGCTGAACCTATTTTATGATATTTATAATCAAATCAAAAAGTCAAGTGTATGTAGAATCAGTCTCATCTGTATACCATCCATACTAAAATGCTAGAAGTTTCTTGATACACCTTAAAGCCTTCTGCATATATAGATGTACAACCTCTGTGGATAAGACACTGAAACCCCTACATTTAAATTGTGAGTACAGTAACCCTTCTGCAGTCAAATGATAAGTAGTGGATTAGGCTGCAGGATGAGGAAACCTCAAAGTCTGCAAAAGAAATTCACATCTATATTAATGCATAATGGTTTCTAAGATCCTAATGAGGAGAAAATGAAGCACTTCCCATATCCTTGTTTTCAATAGTTGAACCATTTCTTAGCGTAGGAAAGTGCCTGCATCTTGTCTTCCACACTTCCTTAGCATTACTGAGTAATATATGGACAAAGAAGATACTATGACCAGGTGTGATTCAAGCATTGTCTGTGATCTCATTTTCCAGCAATTCCATTTTGCCCCTATATCTTGAAGGCTGCATTTTAAATGTTGTTACTACTAAATGCAGGAGATTCAAATAATAGTTAATTTTGCTGCAAAATATCCCTGAAAATATACTACCACTTTCTTCATCTCACAAAGTAAACCAAGTCAGAATATTTTCAAGTCCTTAGAAATCCTCATTTCCTTTATTCACATTTAAAATTTTTAATTAACTTGAAATTCAGAAAACATAAAATTAAACATCTTAAAGTTAACAAAGTCAGTGGCACTTAGCATTTTTACAATGTACATACATTGTCTAACCATGACTACTATCTAGTTCCTATGTATTTCCATCCCCCAGAAATAAAACTCTGAGCCATGAAGACGTCACCTCCATTTTTCCCTATCCCATGCCCCTGGTAACCACTAATCTGCTTTCTCTTTCTATGAAGTTGCCTATTCAGAATATTTCATATAAATACAATCATAGGAATTAGCCATTTGTGTCTGGTTCTTTGACTTAACCATAATGTTTTATAGATTTTCCATGGTGTGGCAATCATCAGTATTTACTCCACTCCTTTTTGTGGCTGAATAATATTCTGTTGTATGTATAGAGAGAAATTCCTTTATCTATTCATCCATTGGAGGAATACGTATATGGTTTTCATCCTTTTTCTGTTATGAATAGTGCTGTTTCCAATTCTGTGGGTTGTATAGCTAAGAATGAAACTGCTAGTTCTTATGGTAACTCCTATATTTAGTGTTTTGAGAAATTATTTAGATTATACCATTTTATGTTACCCTGAGGGAGGACCAGACTTCTAGTTTCTCCACATGTTCACCAACACTTGTTATGTTCCTTTTTTTATTTTACTATATTTGTATCATGGGTTTAAACTTTTTTATTTGTATTTCTCGATAACTAATCATATTGCGGTCTTTTTATTATGTGCTGTTGGCTATTTATATATCCCATTTAAAGAAATCTCCAAGTCTTGTGCTCATTAATTAATTAAGTTGTATGGGTTTTTTTGTTGTCGTTGCCATTGTTTTGATATATTTTGAGATAGGGTCTTACTCTGTGATCCAGGCTAGTCTCAAATTAGTGATCCTCCTGCTTCAGCCTTCTGTTACCTGCCGTTGTTGAGGGTCCTTGCCTTCACAGGCCAGGGAACTGGCTCGTGAGGCAGCTGAATGATGAGCCAAAGCCAGTATATAAAGTAGGATTTATTAGAGAGAAAGGAAAGGCCACAGCTAGAGAAGCACAGCGGAGCCCAGAAGCCGGTAGCTCACTGCACAGGTGAAGGCTGGGGCTTTTATGGATGTCCCAGCTCTGAGTTAGGTGTGTTTTTTTCTATTGGCCATGTATTTACATGTGGGCGCTCTTAGATGAACTGGTCTGTTTGACCTTTGTTGGGGAAGTAGGGAAACAACCTTGAGAGCATTTCGTTTATCAGCCCTGTGGCAGATTTGTGAGACCCTGTATCTCATGTAGGAATGCAGATTTATAGCTCCTTCTCAGAGGGCAGGAATGCAGGCCTCTAACTCCTCAGGATGCAGGAATGATACTGCTCTCCGTGGGGGATGGAATACTCACTCATCTGTCTTAGGTCTCCAGATCCAACACTTCCAAGTGCTGGGATTAGCAGTGTGCACAACCATACCTTGTTTGTTGGTTTGTTGGTTTGTTTGTTTTTTCCTAATGTGTCCTGCATGCTAGACCCTTACTGAATATATGATTTGCAAATATTCTCTCCCATTCTGCCTGTTGTCTTTCCAGGCTTCATAGTATCCCTTAACACAAAAGTTCTTAATTTTGATGAAATCCAATTTATCTGTTTTTTTGTTTTTGCTCATAATATCAAGTGTCAGTTTTTTTTGTGGTGGGACTGGGGTTTGAACTCAGGGATCCATGCACAGGCACTCTACTGCTTGAGTCATATCTCCAGCCCCAGATGTCATTTCTAAGAAACCCTTGTAAAATCCCAAAGTCATGAAGATTTGCCCTTGTGTTTTTTCTAAAAATTTGATAGTTTTAGTTCTTGTATTTAATCATTGATTCATTTGGAGTCACTTTTTTCAAATGGTGTGAGTGTCCAGCTTCATTCCTTTGCATGTGGATACCCCAACACTACCTTTTCAAGAGACAGTTTACTGCCCTATTGTGAATAGTTTTGGAACCCTTGTCAATTGACCATAGATGTATGGTTTATTTCTTATTTTGGGCAGGGCAGCGGGGAGGCAGTTCTGAGCCTTGAACTTACTAGACAAACATTCTACCAAATTTTGGCCACTCTACCAGCTCTTTTTGCTTTAGTTGTTATTTTAAATAGGGACTTGCATTTATTCCCAGGTCAGCCTGAACCACTGTCTTCCTGTTTGTGCTTCCCTGCATAGTTGGGATGACAGGTCTGCACAACTGCGCACAGCCATTGGTTGAGGTGGGGTCTGGTGAACTTTATGCCCGGCTGACTTCAAACGGCCATCCTCCCGATCTCTACCTCCCCATCTTTGCTTCCTGAGTAGTTAGGATTATAGGCTTGAGCCACAGTGTCTGGCCTGGATTCATTTCTTGACTCTCAGTTTTATTCCATTCACCAAATGTATATCCTTATTCCAGTATGACACTATTTTGATAACTATAGCTATGTAGTACATTTTGAAAAATTAAAATATGAATCATCCACCTTTGTTGTTCCTTTTCAATATTGCTTTGGTTATTAAGGGGTCTTTGCAGATCAATATGAGCTTGAGGATATTCTATTTCTGTAAAAATGGCCATTGGAATTTTGATGAGGATTGTACTGTATGTGTTGATTTAGGTAGTATTGGCATATTAAATCCTCCAGTACAAGAGTTTTCTATGTATTTAGGTTTCCTTTAAGTTCTTTCATCAGATTTTATGGTTTTCAGTGTTACTCAAGTCTTTTCATCTCCATGGTTAACTTATACTCTGAAGTATTTTATTCTTGGATGCTATTATAAATTAAATTGTTCATTTTCTTTTTAAATTATTCATTGGTGGTATATATAAACACAACTAATTTTACATGTTGATGTGTATACTGCATTTTTACTGAGTTTGTTTATTAGTTCCTGTAGTATATAGGTTTGTGGATGCGTGGATGGAGTTTGGGATTTTTTTAGAATCATTTTTAGGTAAAAATAGTTTCACCTCTTTGTTACCAATTTGGCTGCCTTTTGTTTCTTTTTCTTGACTCATTCTGGCTAAAACTTCCAGTACAGTGATGAATATCCAAGGTGAAAGCTTTCCCGATTTTAGAAGGAAAGTCTTCAATCTTTCACCTTTGAGAATTGTTAGCCATGGGTTTGTTTTCTTTTCTTTTTTCATAAATGTCCTTAATAGACAATTTCTTTTCTATTCCTTTTTTTATTCTTTTTTTTTAATTTTATTTTATTGTGCTGGGTAGGAGTACATTGTGGCATTTTTCTTACAGTATATCAAATATATCATACTTGAATTCACCTCCCTCCACCATTCTCCTTTATCCCTCCCTCTCCCCATTCAAGAAATAGTTTCAATAGGTATCTTTTCTCCATTTATATTCTATTCATTTTTTACCTCCATGAAATTACCCTGTGGCATTTTTCCTGTTGTTCTATTAATGTGGTGTGTTACATTGATTGATTATTGTATGTTTGAACTATCACTACATCTCCAGATGTAGTTATATCACTTTGTAATGGAATGTAATCATTTTAATATGCTACTAAATTCACTTTGCTAATACTTTGTTTAAGATTTTTACATCTATATTCATGAAGGATTTTACAAATCCCTTTCTATTGTTTTGGTTTTTTTTTAATCCTGACTTTGGTGTCAGTGTAGGGCTGATCTCAGGATGAGGTTCCCTCATATTCTTGCAAGGGTTGAAGAAAAGTTGTTAATTCTCATTTAAGTGTTTGGTATAATTCACTAATGGAAGCTATCTAGTCCTGGGTATTTCTTTGTAAGGAAGTTACTGGTCACTGATTCAGTCACTTTATTTGTTAGAGATTCATTTAGATAGAGTTCATTTTTCAGCTCATTTTTGGTAATTACATCTTCACTTTCTTTGTAGCGCTCATACTGGTTTGGCAAACCAAGAATTAAAAATAAAAAAGAAGACATTCAAGACAATGAAGTAACTCAAAGCAACTGTTTTGAGGCTGAACCTACTGACTTGGTAGCAGGTATCCAGATCAAACATTTGCACAAGGTATTGTTTCAAAAGTCTCTTTTTCCTGCAGAGACTGAAAGCCATATACTTTGCATTGAGTTGTCTGTAATTGGCCTTTCCAAGAAAACAAACGAGATGCTTAATTTGAATCTTGATCAATATAGCTGTGTCGTACAAGGCAGAGCATGGTTGGAGCTATAATTAATAGAACAGATAAATATAGATTCCTCTTTGCAAACAGTGTCTTATTTGTACCACCATTGTACATTGTTCTGAATCTCCTCTGGTGAGTTTGAAAATAAGTGGTATTTGACCTTGTAATCATTTATATGAATAAAATAAAACTGATGATGCAATAGTAACATTTAGGTGAGGTGGGAAGTGTAACACTACTGGCCTACTAGTGATTAACTCTTTCAGGTTTTCTATGTCTGAAATAGTCTTATTTTCATTTTGGAATATATTTTCATTGGATATAAAATTATAGGTTAAAGATGTTGCTCCAGTATCTTTTCACATGCATTGTTTCCAGTGAAAAATCTGCATTAGTTCTTATCTTTTCCCTACATAGAATGTTCTTTTCTTCTAGCACCACTCAAGACATTTAAATGCAGTTTGATTAGATTTTCCTTGTCCTTGGATCTATTTCCAGCTTTACTGATTCGAGAAAATTTATCCTTTGGGAGATGGTTACTGGGTATTTTTGTATTTCATGAAATAGTCTTGATTTTTGTTTTTGGAAGCAATTAAATTACTTGGAAACAGATTGATTTTATCATGCCTGCTCTGGTTACCCAATGCCCTATTGATCTTGACATTTTTGTCTGGCTTGTGAAATAAACATCTTTCCTGGTCTTATGTGAGTGTCAAGGATTATTCCCTCCAATCTCAAGTGATTTGCTCTCCAGATTTAGGTAGCTTTTTTACAAGTATGTGTTGATGAATTATTACCTGAATTGTTTTAGGGGGGCCCACTTTAAATCTCCAGTGCTCCATCTCCGTCTCTGTCTCTCTGTCTTTTCTCCCTCTCTCTCTCTTGGGATGATGGTTACTGGGTATTGTTGTATTTCATGAAATAGTCTGATTTTTGTGTTTTTGGAAGCAATTAAAATTTCTTGGAAACAGATTGATTCTTATCATGGCCTGCTCTGGTTACCCAATGCCCTATTGGATCTTTGACATTTTTGTCTGGCTGTGAAATAAAATCTTTCCTGGTCTTATGTGATTAGTGTCAAGGATTATTCCCTCCAATCTCAAGTATGTTGCTCTCCAGGATTTAGGTAGCTTTTTTACTGAAGTATGTGTTGGATGAATTTTATTACCGAATTGTATTTTAGGGGGGCCCCACTTTAAATCTCCAGTGCTCCATCTCCGTCTCTGTCTCTCTGTCTTTTCTCCCTCTCTCTCTCTCTCTCTCATATGTACACATGCTCATATATATACATATATTCATTTCTTTCGTATGGACTGCAGTTTCCTTAGTCTTATGAGTTAGCAAGTATAGTTGAAAACTATATTTTCAGAGGTTAATGATGAGTTTAGATATATTAAAGTATAGATTAGTGTAGATTTATTTTAGGATTTTTTACATACTGAATTTGAGGTATTTATTAAATATTTAAATATAAATTTCTGGTAGATATTTATAGATGCAGAGCATAGCTTAGAGGAGAAATAATGACTGAAACATTGTAGTATTATCAGCATCTATAAGATACGTGATTGCATTCATAGGAAAAAATTAATTTGACATTGATTTTTGACTGAAATGATGTACTCCAGGAGGTCATTTGACAAAATCTCCAGAGTAGAGAAAAAATAGAGAGCAGAGTATTACTGGTGTCTAGGGAGTAAAAACAAGATACTGCAAAACATCATAGATGGCACAAGAAAGCCTTCCATGATAAAGACGACCTTAGTCCAAAATAAAATGTCATCAGTGCTACTTCTTAAACTGGAAAAAGGCGTGGAAGGATAGGCAGGAGACAGCTCAGCATCAGCACAGATTTTATTCTGGAGAAGAAACCTGTGAAGGGGGTCTCCAGCCAGATCTGGAGCCCACTGCTGCTTACAAACTTCGGGTAGATATATGTTGGGAGGCTGATCCAGGGGTTCTTGTCTTCGAAGAGCGGGGCTTAGGAATAAGCTCATGGGACACAAAGAGTGCACACACAGGTAGATTTATTAGGGATAGAAAAGGCTGCTGCTAAAATAGCTCAGTGGAGCCGAGAAACTGGTAACTCCCAGTTATTGTTACTATAGTAACAGTAGAGGGGTTCCTTTATCTTCTGTCAGAAGGAGGGGATGAAGGTTTTCTTCTTCCCCCATCTACATGGTCAGCACCCATCAGCAGCCTATGGTGGCAATATCCTGTTTTTCACCCTGGTGTTTTTCACCCTGGTGTTCCTTTCTGGGGTCCACTTGTGAAACAACTCCACTGGTTTTGGGAAGTGCAACAGCAAGCCACTCCTTGATCTAAATCCATTCTTCTTATGCTGCTGAGACCCAACAAGTCTCCCCCACCCCCGAAAGTGATGCCCAACTGCTGTTGGGATGGGGCGGTGACTTATCTGGCTGATTCCTGCTGAGAGGGGGCAATGCAGGGAGATGGGAGCAGGGGTGTCCACCTCATGCGTGGCCTTGTGCAGTCTCCAGCAGGCCACGGTAGAAACCACCTGAAGTTTGTTGTGTCAGAACCAGAGAATATTCCTGGACAAGGAAATGGAACTTGATCTTGTTCACCTGTTGAAAGATGAATCAGGCTGTAAAAGGACCAGAAAATGGTCATAGACCCTGTAATCATTTGGGTTTTTTCTTCTTGAATAGCAGCATTAAGTCCTCCAGAGGTTCACAAGAGTAGGTCAATGGTGTTGAATGCTGGTCTTCAGGAATGGGAGTGTCCTGGTCTGAAGTCCAATGTTTGACCTGGGAAATAGGAATCCAGGAGTCTAATTGGAGACCTTGACACCTGTGGGAGTAATAATAGGACAGAGTAGGGCCCTTCCCAGGGAGCCTCAAAAAATCCCCAAGAGGCATGGGGAAGTTTGACCAGAACCATGTCGCCTAGACAGAAGGAAGGAGGGCATTTTAGTGAAGGTTCCTCCCATCCAAGTTCAGATAAGATCTGTTGAGATTTGGCTAGCTGGGTTGTGTGGGAGAGGAGGATTGTGGCTTCTGGGTCTGTAAGTAGGTCATTTTGGAGGAAAGGTCTCCCATAGTTTGCCTTGAATGGTGTCAGTCCCAACCAACTTGGAGTGTTTCAAAGCTGATTTAGGGCCAAAGGTAGCAACTTAAGCCAGGGCAGGTGGGTCTCTTGGGCCTGTTTGGACAGGTGTCTTTTAAATAGTCCATTGGCCCTTTCAACTTCACCTGAGGATTGGGGTCTCCAGGCACAGCATTTGATTCCCAAAGCCTTAGAGATTCCCTGAGTGGCTTCAGCTCAGAAGGCTATTTCATTGTCACTTTGGAGAGTCTGGGGAAGTCCAAATCTAGGGATAATTTCATTAATCAGAACTTTAATTATCTCTTGGGCCTTTTCAGAGGATCAGGGGAATGCTTCAACCCATCCAGTGAAGGTGTCTACCAGAACCAGAAGCACCCTAGAGGTTGAGCCTCCTGGCAGGTGGGTGAAAGCTGCCAGTCCTTCCCCGGAAATGTGCCCCATCTCTGTGTCCCAGGGACAGGCAGGGCAGTGTTGCAGGGGTTGTTATGCTGACAGATTTCACATCCTCTAATAATATTCTGGAGGATCTCTGAGTTTTATCCCCTCTAATAACTGGCCTGAAGGAGGGAGAAACAGAGATAGTCCCCCTGGGGTAACAAAATTTGAGCCTTTAGTTGAGATAGTAAATCCTGCTCCAGCAAGGGCACTGGGGTCTTGGGGACTATGAGAAAAGAGTGACAGAAATGGAGGTCTCCCCAGGAGCAGGCCAGAGGCTGGATTAAATAGCACTCTAGAGGCTGGCCAGATATGCCCCAAATGATAATCTTGTCATTGGACTGGGGACCAGGAGCAAATGACACGACAGAGAAACAGGATCCACTAGGAAAAAGATGACCTTTCGCTTCTCCACTGTTATGGTTACCAGAGGTTCCTCAACATTAATGTCAAGAAGTGGAGCCTGGACAGGAGGCCTCAGAACCCATCAATCCATAGGAAATGGCATCTCGCCTTTTGCCTGCAGAAGGCACTTAGACCTCCAGTGGCTACCTTTGCAGATGGGGCAAAGTCACAGTAGGGGCTGGGGCTGTCTCCTGGGCTGTCCCCCTTTTGGGCATTCCATGCAGAGTGCCTTTATTGTCCACAATGGTGGCAAACTCAGGATGTAACCCATGGGAAGTGGGGTTTACTCCCTTAGAGCTGTGATTAAGTCATGATGTTTTTTATCTTCTCTCTTTTTAGTGAGGTCCTGATTATAGTATACAGACATAGCTAATTGCATTAGTTGGTCCAATGACTTTTCCCCTTCAGCCACAGACTTTGGGAATTTTCTATGGATATCTGGGGCTGACTGAGTTAGAATTTTATCCTTAAGGAGAACCTCTAGCACCTGTGATTCTGGGTCCACTGTGGTATGTTTTAAGCCAACGTCATTAAGATGCTGTAGAAAGGTAAGGGGGTTTTCATCAGGGCCTTATTATACTGCAGTTACCTGGGAATAATTTAGAGGCTTAACTTTGGCCCTTTTCAGTCCTTCCACTATTAGTCATGTCTCATCCATTCATCTCTTCCATCATTTTGATCCCACTGGGAATCCACCAGAGGGACTGCTTGTGCCCCCATGAGCATGGGAATTTCTTTCCCTTCATTTCCTGGTGCCATGGGTATCAGAGCACCTTGTAGGTGGAAATAGTCCCTGACCCGGGTGGCCTGGGTCAGGACCCATTGTTTTTCTAAGGAGGAAAGGGTTTGGTCTACTAGGAGCATGATATCTTTCCATGTCAATTCAAAGGTCTGGATCATAGTAATAAAGGCCAGGATATATTGGTCAGGATTGTCTGTATAACTACCTAAATCCTTTTTTATCTCCTTTAGATCT